TGTGTGATAGAATGAATCAACGAATAATGAATTGGAAAGAATAAAATCAGTAATTGCTATTTTTCTGAGAGCAAGTGATGTTCGAACACCAAGCGGCTTGCGACTTGAGTCGGCAGGTAAAAAGTGAGAAATGAGATCATCTGAAAGGTCTTCTAGTTTTGATATGAAAACATTCTAGCAAAGAATATTAGTCCTCTACTAAGAAAGAAGGGAAACAGAAGTGTGCAGAATGGATAAAAGGGAAAGTAAACAGCCAGATTATGTAGAAGCATGTGAAAGTACTAATAATCCGGCTGGGCAATATATTATACATGCTACGGTGAATATGTAGAAGAGGATCGCCGGAAAATAGGGTCAGTAGACAAAGGAGGGTGGTTACGCTGCAAGCTGGCCAAGCGTTCGGTAACACAGCCAGCAGAAAGCCTGGCTTCAGCATCCTGATCCCAGCATTCCTCTACAGTCTCCCAGAGTAGAACAAATCCCTATAAAATAATGAAATGAACATGAAAGTATAAACACCATAGATAAGAATGGCTTAAAGGATACCATTTTTTGCAAAGCAAAATATAATGAAAACTAAAATCTCAAGGGTATTTACGTAGAATGCTTTATGTAAATGTTTATAGCATCCTTAGATCACTATTCATTTTATCTACCATATTTATTGATTTATTTTTATATATGATAAGTAATCTCGCTGGTAAAACAAATAAAAAATCATAAACCTATACAGCAGTGTTGTAGAGCCAGACAAAATACCAGCTCAAGCCCAAACATGAAAGCAAGGTTAGGAAGATCTGAAAGGGACTAGTTTTGCAGATAAGATTTTTCTACATATTTATAGCGTCTAGTCCATGAAATTTCCACGTTGCATTCTATAAGATTAAGCATATGGATTCGAAATAAACATATGTAAGGTCAAAATCTGCATTATATTTCTTATGATTTTAATTAAATGACCTTCATATAGAAATATGATAATTAATTAAAACGATTGTATCTCGTCAAAATGAGTTCTCATAGCACCACACGAGAAAAAAAACGAAATCACGACTGCAAAATGGGAAATAGGAAGATTGTATTTATAAATTTGAATCCGCGTTGTCAATTCAAAGTCTGCATAAATAAGATTAAGGTATCAGTCAGCCTCTTCTAGGTCTCTGACTGAGACTAAAGCAATGAAAGTATTACAACTGGAATTTTTAGAAATTATATTGCACCTGCCTCACAAGTAGGTCATGAACGATCAACAATGGTCAACAATATTCCAATAAAATCAGATGCAAAGCTGAATCAACTTCCAAGGAGTAAAGAAAGAATGTGTCGCATTAGCTTGGCCAAGCCAGACGAATGAGCCCCAGCAGACTTAACATCTGGTGAGCCGAGGGTAAGAAGTATTAGAATAGCTGAAAAACTTAATTTGGAAATGCTTCTGTGACGTGAGCATAGATCAATCTCATTTGAGCAATCAGAGCAATGATCATGTATTTTAAAGGAGTAATGCTAAACGTGGAGGCACAGATAGAATTAGCCAGTGCAGGCTCAATAAATTCGTATATGCCACGTGATCCAAAACACAACATTAATAAGTTGAAGACTAGATTCTTAAAAAGTCACGCATCATCAGCAGCAATTGTCTAATCTTTTGATTGCGTTGCATTCTCTATAGTGAATAATGTAAAAAGTAAGATAACAATGTAAGCTAAATGTCAAGTCCTCCGCTATTACAAATGAGGAAAGTTCCATTCCGATAAAATGAGAATACTTGCCTGTAAAGCAGTCATTTATTCATAAGGGTTAGCATAGCCAATACATATTAATATTTTACCCATAATAAGAACCAATCTTGGAATGAAATTAAAGGCTCATTCTTTTGGTAATTGAGAAGTAATGGTTTAACAAGATAACATCAACTTGTGAGTATTTTCCAAAATCCGATTCCGAATTCCGCTGCAATAATTTTTTATTGAAGCAAAATATTAATTTGCTATAAGCTTTAATCATTCGACTAATAAAGAATGAGCGCTTTTAGAAATAAGATATAATGAGGTGAAGCGTTGGCTTGACCTCACTTTCGTAACTTAGTCGGAGCGACATTAAGATCTTGTGTAACGTATATCGTCCTGTGTCCACTGTCAAAGTATTCAGGATAATTTCCAGCATCGAGGTGCAGACTTGGTACATTCCAAGACGTTTTGCCGGCAATTTCAGTGGGATGCGCCATCCTCAGTACAGAGTTATAGCTTAACAATGGCAAATAAAGGCGATCACCTTTACCAATTTTCTCTTTAACAGTTGTGACCTCACTCCTCAGTTTTTGTGCTAGCTTATAGTGTTGCCTTTTCTCTCAAACACACTTTACAATGCTCATTTACATATTCTGCGGGTATATACCAAATCAACAGTCAGATGCTGGAAATTATCATGAGGTGCGTTCCACAAGGTATTCCAGTAACTCCGACCAGGTTGCGAAAACGAGATCAAACTAATACTATACAGCTAAAAGATACTGCGACCTAACCCAAGACCATAGCATCTTGGTCAACCGATTTTGAATCTAAAAATGAAGTAATCTCAAAAGAATGGGGATCGTTATAATAGGCCTACAAAAAACAGCAGATTCAAGAAATCAATAGCAAGGTGGCTGTAATTACCGGGTCTTTACTCCATGATGATCGAAATTTTGGTCTCTGCTTGGATTGAGCAACCCATTGCTGGAGCTGCTCCATTGTCGGCTGTGGACCAAGCTCCTCTTCAAATGGTGCCTTGTATGGTGGCCATGTTTCTTCTGGCAATTTCAGGAGGCTGTGGTCACATTTCTTTAAAACTGATTGTAAACTATGAATTTCTGGAAAGGTTTCGGAAGCTACATCAGAAGATGTCTGAGCAACAGGTGAGGGTAGGCAGCGAGTCATTAGCTCCCAAAGGATAAGACCAAGTGCATAAACATCTATGCGAAGAAATGCATCCCTCGAAAACTGAATGGCACCATCCAGCACCTCTGGAGCCATATAACGTCGTGTACCGACCTAAGTCATTAATTTAAGTATGTCAATGTCAAAGAAATAAAAGTTTCGTTAAAAAATAAAGCGTAGTCTTTAAGAATAGTATCAGTGGAGATAAATAACAACATACCATAAAAAGAGTTTAACGTCGTAAAATCAATTTAGATTCAGCTAATGAAGATGAGTAATGAAGGCCCAAAATTGATCAGTTGATATTCCAAAAACTAATATTTGACCCATTCTCAAAAGATTTAAGAGGTTTAACCTTTTTCAGTGCAACTGAGTGTGTAGTGTATCCAAAATATTTGTATATAACAAAGTCTTATCCTTGAGTGATC